GAACTTTCACTATTCTCGATAGCTTACTTCAATAGAAATTCCGAGCAAAGAAATTAGAATAGTAGATGTAAATTCTTTGACAATATCACATGTCATAAAATCAACTTATTAAGGCCCGGTTTAATTTATATTTTATACATATTTATTGGACTTTTAAGCCCAATATTATTTTCTTGCTCGATAATCATACAAATAATTAAATTCAAAACAATACTTCGAATATATTTATTGGACCTACAGACCCAACCCCTTTCTCTTCTCGGTAGTCATTGAATAATTAAAAAACTTAAGCTCCAAGATAACATATTACAAACACCCATGAAATAAAATAAAACTGCTCGCAAATAACACATAAAAGCAACTCCAAGAAATTAAAAAATTTCAGGTGAGACAACAATGTACACCCAATTTAATTTACACTTCGTAGAAGTGTATTGGACTTCTAAACCCAACACTTTTTCTTCTTGATAATCACACGAATTTGCTAGAAAATCCACACACAGAGGCCTAGTTTAATTTACACTTTATACAAATGTAACGAACTTCCAAGCCCAATTTTTTGTTCTTCTCGATAATCATATGAATAATAATTAAAATCTAGTAAAGGGTTCGTTTTGAAACGCCGAAACAAAGGCACAAAAATATAAAATCCGCTAGCAAACACTACAAATGTACATAAAATAAACTTGATTGTTCAAAAATAACACTTATAGCGGGTCCGAGTAATTAAAAAAATTCAGTGGAGACAACGACGACATCAACGGCAGTCCATGCCAGATGCCTCGTCACTGAATAATGCGGCGATCGAGGCTACCACGACTGCATTGGAGTAGATTCAAAATATTAGCAAAACAAAAGAATAAACATGAAATGTGTACCAAAAGAAATAGTTATTCATAGAAACAAGAAACTCACATCTCCTGAAACTCGCGGACATCATCATCGAGAGGGTTAAATATGAACTGGGAACTTGGATAATGAGACCGCAGGACGACATCCTTAGAGTCGGAACTTGTACAACAAATATATATTAAATAGACTCTTGAAACAAAGAAAATCAATCAACACTCATTAGGCTTAATTAGAAACTGGAAACAAAGTAGATCATTTTTTTTTTTTTACTTATTACACATAATATTATACTTATCTTTGCCAACGGATACCATCCAAAACTTGAGAACACATACTATCGATTCAGCATCATTTTGCTCGTACACACGAACAAAGTTCCTAGCAATAGCTCCTCTCGTAATACACGCAATGACACCATCCTTCCTATGATAATGACATCAACTATGAATATACCATAAAATAACAATAAAAATATTTTATTCAAAAATAATTTATAAACTACTAATCTCGCATCGCAAAGTTCAAAACGAACGTGACACAATTCCTCCTCGTATGCATCATTGTTACTGTCCTACAGAGTTCCCATCCTTAAAAACGTTCCCATGACATCTGCGACAAAACGTATTTCAGACACATACAATCACGGTAACCAAGTATGAAAATAATTCTAAAAAATCTTTAAAAAAAATTATCGATTAAAGATCGAGATTCAAACTCCCTAGTACAAATATCGAAAATTCGCCGACAGAGAAGAAATAATCCAGGAGGTCCATCATCAAATCTCGTTACCCTTGTCAAACGACCGAACTCGATCTTTTGACCGTAGTCGGACAAAATCACAGATCCAGTCTCGCGTTTAACTTTGAAATTACAGAACTCATACCAAGATCCTTCCTTAAAGTAGATTTCATAAATAAGCAATTCACCGGGCAAGACATTCACCGAGATTTGTGTTCGCTAGCCAAAAATAGAGATCAAAATCTAAATAAGCAACAAATTCTCAAAGAAATTTTCACATGCAAACAGAAAAGAGTAACCCGTTCCATTTGTTGGTTTCTAAAAAATTATTCTGTTAACAATCACTGACATCTGTTCGCTTTCCAATAATTTGTCCATATCGAACTCATTGCAAACCATATTGGGCTCAAGTAAACGAATAGTTATTCAATTCGACCCATACGAAGTCAACGAAAGTAAACAAACATCGAATATAAAAAGACACGACAACAATCTACACTATCACTATCTAAATATTTTTAGATAATATAAACGACAACGAATTTAATATCTTAGTATAATCCAAGATATCTGATATCGAACAGCATGATATCCCTCATAATTCTAATTTAAAAAAACTTAAAGTAAATTAACATAGAAATTTCCGGATGAATAAGAATAGTATACTGCAGGATATATCCCATTTTATTTTATTTTTGTCTTAGAAGATGTCAACAATATATACCTATTATACGTATATACATCAATATGTATATAAACAACTCGTCTCATATAGTCTCGTTCAAGATACCACATACTAACAAAATCAATTAGTACGCTTAGCTCTTATTTTCAGACATCTTTACCAAAAAAAAAAACAACCGAGATATTATGGAACAACCAACTACCATAAGAAAATAATTTATTAAGAGAACACAACACTATTACAAATTAAAGACGACCTAAATACAAATCATAGGTAACCTAATACAATCAAATTACATTAATCACGACGAAATATCAATGAAAGTATTCCTCTTCAAGGCATGCATGATCAAAAAGATACACTCAAGAATCTGAAACTTTCTATCTTTGGTGATCCCAACACATCCTCTACACTCCAAACTCAACATTGGACAAACCACTAATCACACCCTTTCAAAAACCCTTTCACACATCAAACATTACAATAAAAAAAAAATCTTTAGATATAAATATAGAAAAACGTCAAAAAAAAATTTGACCTTATTAAGGAATATAAACATCACAAAAGGAGACTATACACAAACTCTGAAACAATAAGTCTATAGAAAAAACATAACTGCACAAACCTCCCGACGAGAATGTGAATACATTGATAATATATCCGAAGGTGTGATCACGCTACATCCACCAATCCCCAATTAAAAGTGAACAACCCTTAGCCATCTGAAACAAAACAAAAACCTAGTCAATATTACAAAATACTAAACAAACATAATCTTATTTATATTCATCAACTAAAACTATATGAGATACCAAATCAAACCAAAACGAACACATACTACCTGCATATACATGAAAAGAAACTAAAGAAGCATATACAAAATCAAAATACAATATCCATTAAACAACTACGAAAAATGATATAGCATTTTGATAATACCTCACAAACCCGAAGCCGGCATATATCGACGAATATCTAGTCATTAATAAAAAGACAAAAAGTATAAACGAAAATAACATAATACATATGTATATTCGTTGGAAACAGAGAACATACCGTTTAAGCCAGATCAACAAATCGAGAAGATCAATAAAGCCATACCACCTACATAATACATATGAAGAATTCATTAGATAAGCATATACGAATAAATTCATCAAATACCTGTATACATAATAAAATTTTAATCAAATATAAAATCAAATACACGATCAGCTGCAAAACTACAAATAAGGAAACAACATCTCGATGATTCTTTACGTTGTTGAAACGCAGTCAGCGTAAAAAATCTAACCGTCAACAAAAACAAAAAAGGTTTAACGAAAATCCAAATCAATAAAAGAACGTAATACATCTATATGATATATGTAGAGAGCATACCGTCTAAGCAGGGCAGTGCTTCAAGAAGGTCAACAAAGCTATCAACTGCATGCATATAAAAAAATTCATTAGATACGCGTATGCAAATTTCAACAAAATACAAAAGCTAACAAACACAAAGAACAAATAAACAAATCGATAATTTTTGCCGATCCTAGAATATTGAACTGTATATATAGAGAAGATTATGGTTACATGTCAACCGCTCATACATTATGGGCCCCGACCTGAATTAAAAGAATATTTTTAAAGTTTTAGAGAGTACACGAAATTACATAGATTTTATTAAGATTCGCATAGGATAATGGTAACTATATTAATGTTATTTCCAGTTTGATAACCATAGAATCATTAAACCAACGAATATTCCTTTTTGATTATTTTGTAACTTATTTAGAAATTAAAAAATGTTAGAAATACCTAAAAATTAAATTCGAGATATACACAAAATCAGCAAAAAATAGTATTAAAAATCTCGGAAAATATTAGAATAGATTAGTGATTTCTTCATTAAGGACACTTAGGTAATATTTTATAAGATTAAATAAGAGAGTTCTATTCCTCAAAATCATTTCACAAATAAAGGTTTAGATTTCCAAGAGAAATTTTATAACTTCAAATTTTATGATCTTTCTAAGGTTTTTGAATAATTAAAGTTTTAAAATGGTTTTAATCGGTGATTCAGATGTTGGCACTCTAATTTGCTTAGCTATTAGCCTATTACTATTGTGTTTACTTTAAAAAAAAATTAATTGTTTGCAGGATTTTTTCATCAGATAATAATGTAAATTTCTCCACTCCAATCCATAAATCGTTTCTTCGACTTTGATGATAGAAGGCGACGTTTCCGTGACCAAAAACTAGATCTAAAGTTTGAAATGAAAATGATAAAGAACAAGTTCAAAAGACTAAAGAAACTGTTGGGTCAAGAGTTTGAAATAAAAGATCTAGGCTCAACAAAGGAATACTGAGAATGGAGACTAGAAGAGACGGAGATCAAGAGATTCTAGAACTATCCCAAGAACAGTAGTATGTGGAAAAGGTTCTTCAAGTTTTCATAATGGATCAATATGCAAAAGCTATTCAAAAACATACAGGTGTTCATCTCAAACTCAAAGCAGCTAAAAAGCACGTTCTCAAAGAAGAAATGGAATACATGAGGTCAGTTCCATGCTCAAATGCCATTGGAATCATAATGTACTTCATGTTAGGATCAAGGCCAGATTTAGCATAACATGTTGGTGTCATCAACAGATTCTTTGAGCAGACCAACAAAGGCTCATTGACAAGCAGTAAAATGGGACATGTTGATTTCCCTCTTTTGTGAACTCTGTTGAATCGATAATTTGCAACATAAAACTAATAAGTTTTGATAATTTTTATACGACAATTTTATTTATATCACACAAAGTGACACCACCATTCACTTTATTTATATCATACAAAGTGGCACCATTCACTCGTAAACACTCAATCCAAACAAAGAAACAAAACAGCAAAAACAACCAAATTAAAACAGAACATAACAGAACAGAGGAAGTTTCTCTCTTAGCAAATCGGAATCGGAGCTCCGTTCCATTCCTTGAGACAATCCATCAACGGATCAATAATCTTACCTTCACACATCGCAGTGTAAACCTTATCAAACTCTTCTCCGGGAGACACAACTTTTTCTCCGGTCAACAACTTTGCTCCCAGCTCTTCCCTCACGAATCGATACAGTGGATACGACCGGCATTTCTTAATCCTGTTCGGAATCGTCGCAGTTCCGTTACCATAAGCCGCCCTCGTCGCTTGCACTTCCTTCGGAAGCACCGCCTTGAGCTCCTCCTCAAAAGCTCCGATCTTTTGAAAGACTGAACACACTGTGTTCTTCTCAGTCTCACCGTTGGATAAAGCATGATCGACGATGACTTGTCTTAGCTTCTGCATCAGTGGATACGTGGCGTTACAAGGATCGTCAATGTATGTGAACACTTGTACACGATCAACGACCTTAAGCAACTCGCCGTTGAATCCAGTGGTTATGACTTTCTTAGCTACTTGAGAAACTGTGTTCTTCACCGTTTGTCTCAGATTCTCCTCCAAATGTCTCAGATCAACCGCTTGGCATATCGCGACGACGAACGTCGTGGACATTAGCTTGAGAATCTCGACGGCTTCAGAGGTTTTACGAGACGAGATTAGTCCGAGAGAGTTCACTCCTTGGTTGTGTTGTTCAGCTGATTGAACATGGCTTGTGACTGGATTCGCTAAGTATTGCAGCTCCGAGCAGTAAGAAGCCATGGCGATCTCTGCTCCTTTGAATCCGTAATCCAAGCTTGGGTTGTTTGAAGCTGTTAGATTCGAAGGAAGGCCATTGTTGTAGAAATCGTTAACAAGCTCCGTGAATTGAGCGAAAATGAGCTTCCCAATCGCTGCGATCGCGAGACGCGTGTTGTCCATTGAAACTCCGATTGGAGTCCCCTGGAAGTTTCCGCCGTGAATCGCCTTGTTCCGGGAGACGTCGATCAACGGATTGTCGTTCACGGAGTTGATTTCACGCTCGATCGATTTCGTCGCCTGACGGATTACTTCGATCTGAGGGCCGAGCCATTGTGGAGAAGTACGGAGAGCGTAGCGATCCTGTTTCGGCTTATACAATGGATCCATCTCGTAAAGCTTTTGAACCAATTTCATGTAAGAGCTTCCGTCGAGGATATGCTCCATTATCGCCGCCGATTCGATTTGCCCTGGGTGGTGCTTCAATCTGTGAGTCAAATGATCGGTGAACTCAGGTTTCCCGCTCATCACTTCCGCGAAAATCGCTGATAAAACCTCCGCCAAAACCGATTGAACATTCGCTTCGAATAGAACCATCGAAGCCATTCCAGATCCAACCGCCGTGCCGGTGATGAGTGCTAACCCTTCCTTGGGCTGCAGATCGAAGAATCCAGAATTGATTCCGGCTTTCTTAAAGGTTTCTTCCGCCGTTAGAGATTCACCGTTGGGACCAGTGGATTTGGAATTGGGACGGCCGGTGAGGAGGCCAGCGATGTAGGAGAGGGGAACGAGATCGCCGGAGGCAGTTACGGTTCCACGGAGGGGGAGAGAAGGAGTGATGTTGTGATTGAGGAGACTGGTGATTGCTTCGAGGATTTCGAATCGGATGCCGGAGAATCCTTGGAGGAGAGTGTTGACTCGGACGAGCATGGCGGCTCTCGTGGCGGATTGCGGCAGCGTGTGGCATTCTTTCGTGCTCCCGAATATTCCGGCGTTCGCAAATCTGAAACGGAATAAACATGCGGGATTAAAACTTAAACTAACGGCTTGAATTGTGTATTTCAAATTATTAATCACCATTATGAGCAAAGCAACACATGTTGATTAGAAAAATTCAAAATATGAGAGAATAAATTTGCCATGATTTTGAAAAATAAATAAATAGATAAATAGTTAAATTAAAACCGTAAACATCATTTAAATAGAAATATAAACAAATATTTGGAAATTTTCCTCAACTTAGTTTATTGAGTCATTTTAGAAAGATGATGCTGACAAAAAAAACCTACTTGGAAATATGTGTTAAAAGTTAAAACCAAATCCAAATATCAGACAAAAAAACCAAATTATTATTCTGATACTCCTCTTTTTTTTGGTAGTTGATACTCTTTTTTTATGGGAAATTAGGTTGAATAACAAAAAAAAATATTATAATACACTACATAATCATTCGGAAGAGTGGTTTACTATACTCTGTATAAATTATAATAATACAGTTTTACCTTTATGTACAGAATATATAGATAATATGGTGCAATATGGTTAATATGAAAATTGAACCTTTTCTTATATGTATCATCATTTTCAGTTTTATTTTATTCAATTTTAGAAGTGTTATAATTTTGTTTATTTTAAAATACTAAATCATAAATTTTGCATATACACAAAGTTTATTCTAGAATCCTTTAAGAAAAAACAAAGTTTAATCTAGATGATTTATTTTTTACACATGACTTAATATATTAGTGCGTGTTACTTTATCTACTAAAACCGTAAATAGCCATAATATTAATACATAACTTTTATATTTAAATAAATTACCTAATGAGTTCCTTCTGAAGTGCGACGTCGTTTTGGGGTCTTCCGTGAGAAGTACCTCCAAAGCTGGTGGTTACACCGTAACGGTCAGTGCCTTTCTTCATACTCTCCATGACCCAATCGCTGCTAGCTTTAACGCCGGCTTTCGAAGCCTTCGCCAGCTGAACCTTATAACCACCACCAACGGTGGAGATTGCCGCCACTTGTCCGATCGTCAGCGTCTCTCCTCCGAGATTCACCACCGGTCTCCGATACTCCTCAACCATCCTCTTCACCTCATCCAAATGGCTCCCTTTCATCTGCTCCGCCGCAGAAACCCAGTTAAACGGATCCTCTACAGTCTTTGCCGCCACGGTCTTCACCGCCACAGTCTTCAACGCCATTGTTTTCACCATCACTTTCGTCTTCTCTGCTCCGCCGCATAACATCGCCTCGATTTGGCCGTTTTGGTGTACTGATCCTTTGATCTGACCCATCGGGTTCGAGTTTTTAAATTGTTGGTGAAGGGAAAGATTTTGAATTGTTGGTGAAGTAAGTTGGAGTTTGGTTCCTGAGGAAGAAGACAGAGAGAAGGGTCGTTTAAATAAGAAATTACAGAGGGACCTAGTGTGAGAGCTTAATGACGACCGTTGGATAACAATCCAGGATCTAACGGTGGAAAATAAAAAAGTGAATTTGTTTTGAGCCGGAAAAAGGTGGTCGTGGGCCTCGTGGCTCGTGGATGAGGAAAATGGCGTTTTGCGGTTATATGAGACAATTTATTTACGAGTGATTATGGTTTGGGAATGAAATAATGAATACAGGCAGTAGGCGTTAGAGCTGTGCGAAGCTCATTCGAACCATAAACAATTTTTTTTTTTAACATGCCCTCATTTATATTTTTTATAATAATAAATATAATTTTTACATAGCAAACATAATAAAAATTTTTGAAGACCCAAATTTTAGTTCTAAATAAATTAAATTGTAGTTCTAAAACTTTTTTTCTTCAAAATTATGGACCCAAATTTTAATTTTTTTTAATCATACATGGATGAAAATTAATTTTAAAAATAATAAAATAATTAAAAAGAAGAGAAAAAAAAATATTATCTCAAATGTATCTAATTGTTAGAGAAATATAGAAAAAAACATACAAATAGAAAGATGGAAATAAAGAAATTATATGGTTTAATTTTTTTTACTCTAATTCTTTGATTTTTTGAGGTCATTTCCTCTAGTAACAATTTGACTTATTGTTGTTAGTTTCTCTTTTGTAAACTCATATAGATGTATAAGCATATATTAATATCTGAGATTAATACAATATAACTAATAATAAAAATAGATTATTAAATCTTTTAAAAATTTTGCTGCCCCATACTTTATAAAATAATTTGTTGTTAAAACCAAAGTTTCTTTAAAATAGATGTAGGCACGGCTCTGCAGGTGGTCTCGGATTCTCGAAAATAACATTTTAACTCTAAAATATATTATTTTAATATATAATTAAATTTAAACATTTAAAACAAATAGAAACAATTAAAAAGGACAAGTGTATATATCGTATTTTAATAAGGTGAGAACTATTCTTAAGGAAGAGATGTTGAGAATCTTTGCTCATTCTCTTTCCTCCTTTTTAATTTTTTTTTCTTTTTAATATTGAAATAATGTAACTAAAACCTTCCAATGAAGATGCTGTAAGAGCATCTCCAATTTTAAGAATCTGTAAAAGTATTTTAATTTTTTTTTAAATTATGAAAAAGTCTAAACCAATCATAACATGGCACATGTTAAATGAGATTCTTAAAAATAGAGAAAAGGTTTTCAGAGCATATCCAACACATGTATCTTAACAAATATCTAAACATTAAAAAATATTAAAATTATGGAAAAAGAAGAAAAATAATAAGAATGATATTTGATAGTTCTCATTTAAAATGCGACTCTAACACAATAACAAACTTTAAAAACACATGTCTTTACATGAGTGGTTATATCTTAATGTGAATGATTTTCCTTTTTATTATTTAAAGATTAATTATGTTATTAAAAATATATTAATAAAATATTTTTTAGATACTCATGCACCGTTGGAGATGCTCTCAACTAAACAATTTAAAAAGCGATCCTTGTTTCTTTTTCTTACTTTTTATTAGTTTATTATTTTTTTTGTTAAGAAACTATTGTAAAAAACCTCCATTGAAAGTAATCTAAAGTATGTTAAATACGAACCGTATGTGCTTTCTCTTTCTTCCTTTTTGTTTTTTTTTAATTTTTTTATTAGTAAAATATTCTTATTAGAAATACCGATGGAGGTGGCATAAGTGACTAGATTCAATTCAAAGTCAGCTACTATATTCGCAACCTCTCTTAAAAGAGGGGTTTTCAACAATAATTAATATTATTTTAACATGATTTACTATATAAAATATAAATTTAATGTTTAAAAGAATTTGATCTAATTAAAACAAGACAAGTGTCCTTTTGGTATTCCAAAATTTGAGAATCGGTTCTCATCTCAGATAATTTGAGAAGCTATTTACACTCTTTTTCTATCTTTTTTTTTTTAATATTCAAATACTTTGATGAATGGAAATGCTCTAACAACAGTTTTTTTCCTAGATCTAAACCCACAATCTATTATATAAAGACTCATTTGTGTCTAACAAGGGAATGACACGTTAGCACCTCCTTCCATGACACCTCAGCCACTTTTTTTTTTTTAATAGATTTCGGTTTAACGATATGTCAGGTCCAGAATGCTTTTAAGTTTAACGATATGTCAATGGGCCAACCTTTTAGGCCCAAACTAATCATGGGGAGATGGCACTGTCACAGTCGACCTCTTTCCCGACTTTCCAGTCCCTGTCTTACAAATACCAATTCGTCCTAACATCTCAAAATGAGAAAGAACCCTGGTCTCCTCTCCTGATCATCAGCTGCGTCGCCCTCAACGGAGATCTTTCGGAAGATGGAACTAGAGATTCATCTCTCCCCACTTCTATCTCGTCGATTTTTGTGAAGGTATTTCTGTCTCGATTCCTCCTTTTTTTTTTAATTTTGTTCTTGCACCTGCCTAGGTTTATATGAAAATTGAATCCGTTTTCGGTTCTATTCCAATGTGATTTACAGGATTTTTGGATCCAGTGAGCGAAGGGCGTTTAAGAAAGGTCTTCTCGGAGTTTGGAAAAGTTAGCAATGGTGAATCTCTCTATCTCTGACATTTTCAGCTTCCAATAGGATTCGTAAGCACGAGGAATCATATATATAGGAGCATTGAATATAGACAAATAGGCCACGTTCTAAAGTTTTTCTTGGATAATAGGATTGAGGTAGGGATGTTTTGGTTGAATTTGAGCCTCACTATGATCTTGCGACTATACATTGGTAAACAAAACTGGAGCAGAGGAGGCTCGTAAGGCAGAGAAGACCAAATCGAAGAATTTGTAATTTAGCCCGTAATTAACTGAATCTCTTATTTAAATCAGGGACTATGTTGGTACTCAATGCGGTTAAAGATGGATGAAAATGGAGATGTTGCAGATGAGTTCTTGGAAAATCATAACTGTACGACTTTACCAAGAAGATGCAAAACAAAAGCTACAAAATCAGAGAAAGGTTAGAATCTGTGTTTCATCAGCCATTTAATGTCGATATGAATCACTGGTTGTTGATACTTGAGAACCTTTAATAAAAAATGTTATTAACTGTGAATTTTGTTTAGTGAAACTCTTTGGGGTTGTCTGAATATATAGTCAACCAATCTCTCTTTATATTGTATGTAATTCAATGTTTTCTGATTATGATTGCTGGAATTGTTTGAAGGTTGCACAAATTGTTTCTTTTTACAAGATTCTGCTAAAGCAAGTACTTGTGGTATATATTACATTCTCTCTCTCGCTCTCCAAATTATGAATTCAGAGTGCATATGCAGTCTTAAAAAAACTTTTATGTGCCTCTTACAGGTTTACAATGATTTGGATTTGCCCTTTGGTAAACTTCGTTTATTGCCAAATGGTGGTCACGGAGGGAACAATGGGTACGAAGCTTTTTCACTCTAAGTATCTGTTTAGTGATGCAAGTTCTCTTCTTTTATAATCATCAAATGAAATGGTAGCATTAGGATAGTAAGTCTAACAGGTTCATGATATTGTAAACTTAAGATTTATAATCATGTAATTTCAGTAAAAAATTTGGCCATTGAGATGAGATGAACAGAGATATTGTTTAATTGGATTAACTACTTAGTCTACTCTTAAATTAGATTAGTCGCAATAACAAAATATGTTAATTGTAGTTCATTGCATTTATTCATTTTAACAATTACTTAGTCTTGGATACATTTGTTATTCAAAATTTCCTTTATTCTCGTCTCAAAATCATCAACCATTAAGTAGATATGTTTTTCCTTGTTCATTAATTATATCCTCTCATTACGAAAAGTCATCTCTCAACTCCAACCTCTTATAAATAATCGCTTCTGCAAAGTTTAGTATCACTTCATCTTACCTTTCTCCACTGATTACAAGTAAGTTTTTTCCGAATCGTATGGTTGAATTAGTTAACTATGGTGGGAAACTCACAATTCTTTGGGATAGATTTTAGTGGCGTGGTTGTAGCCAGAACAGGAATAAATGGTGTGCGGTGGTTTCGCAGGAAAGAAATCATGGAGGTGCGATTTGGAGAAAGATTGAACGGTTTTGTGATAAAAACTGTACAGTTAGAAACTCTATGCAAAGAGTAAATAAGAAGAATTTTTGGTAGCAACATATTAAATAGCTGATGCGTCTTGAGATCAGTGGTTTCAAACATGGAAACCAATCTTGGAGTAGTTCAGAAGACGGAGATGTTGCAGATGAGTTCTTGGAAGATCATGACTGTACGACTTTACCAAGAAGATGCAAAACAAAAGCTACAAAATCAGAGAAAGGTTAGTTTGATAAGAGGATGCTCTGTTTCTGATACCTTTGATCAATGTGGCTTTGGAGATTTGAGTTTCACTTCTGCGAGTTGAGGAGTGATGTCTATTGTTTGTTTGCCTGATCAGAGAGTGTGATGAGCCAGTCTTTGGTTGTGACAAGACCTTCTAGCGAAAGCCTTTGGTTCTGCGGCCAGCATCACTGCGATATCTCTTGGTATTCGAGGTAGTCCTAAATCTTAAATCATCAATCATCTTTATATGCTTTGTTATTGGTATAATCCTAATCACCAACAATAGCTTATAAAGATTCGCGATTATTATGTCTTAATTTTGATTGTGGCATAGGACACAAGTACAACACTGGAAAAGCGAACGTGGAAGAGTTGATCTCAGACAATCGCTTAACTCGATACGACAAAATCCTCTTTAATTATCCTCATGCAGGGTCAGGTTTTGCTATGCTTTATTTAATTGATTTAATTCTTAATTTTATAGATTTAGATGACCGCATTGGTAAAACCGAATCTGTAAATTGTAAAGGGTTTGCGTCTAATCCAGCAGATGCAATTTAACAAATGGACATTTTCGGGCTGCTACAACAAGATAGAGAGATTGCAAGTAACCGTGACTCTAGCTTTCGTATTAGATCAGTTGTTACTTTCATGTTTAAGAAATAAAATAGTATTTTTTGAGGTAAACAAATACTTATATAATATGAAAAAATCATATTAAGAATAATAATCTACTTATTTTGAATTATATTTTGCACATTGCGTGATTTTTATACTTGGTTTTTAATTGT